AGAAAATGAGCTGTTGCCCACAATCACCTCACCAGCTCTGAGAAGAGAAATCGATCAGGTGATCATTTAAAAGCCAGGAAGCAGAGAGCTACAAGATCACTTTACTGGCCATATACAATTTCTTGCATTAGGAGTTTGTCTTTTCACATAACCCAGCTTGCTCTCCATGAGACACACAGGCAGGGAGAGAGAAGCTTGGAGTCAGAGCGCAGGGTCAGTGTCACGGACGTCGGGAAGGGCATGCCGTGGAATGGCCAGGAGAGCAAGAAAGACCCTATGCGCAGCGGCAAAACGGGGGTTAGCCCGGGCTCAGGAGGTCAGAAGATGTCAGGTAGAAACCCATACCATCAGGCCGCAGAGGAGACGAACTGGTGCTAGGCGGGTCTCAAGACATCCAAACCCTCAATGCTGAGTGAGGAGGAAAGGGTGATGAGGAAATATACAGTATAGCCCCACACAAAGACACAGTGGAAGGACAGGCAAAGCACAGGGAAACTAGGAACAGGACAGAGTAGGAGCACCCTCTAGCTGTAGAGGGCCTGACAGTCAGCCATTTTTATACGTCGGCCCTGGAACAGCTGGGGGTAAGGGCCTTGCTCAGGGGCCCAGTGGAATAGGATTCCTCTGCCAGCCGTGGGATTTAAACCGGCAACCTTCCTGCCACAGAAGTTAGAGGGTTACAGGGTTTGACTGATCTGTGGATCCTCTGTGTGCGAGTACTGTTGCGAAACTGATCTAGTGAGCTTTGATAGAAATTTTGGAGGGAAACCTGAGTTCTAGAAGAGTTAGTGAAAAGTTTTGGGAGAGTCTCAGAGAGATACTTTGTTGTGGAAGCTGAAGAGCTGTTTAGCTGCCTGGGTATGAGTATTGTGAAGAGCAATTTCTGGTTTGTGTTTTGTTTCCTCTACTGTAAATTTAACCAATACTTTTGACTTTGTGTCTGTATTCGTGCCTGTTTTTCTGATCCTATCTGGATGTGTCACAGAAACCAATATGAAATATGTAGTAATTAATCCATCACATTTACCAATCAAATTGTATTAACTAATGGTTATGAGTTCCTTGTCATTGACATTTTGTTCCTCGATATCCCTTTATAAAGCTTAAAGGTTTCCTTTGACACTACAATTTCCAGAATAACGTCTTAAAGTTAACAGAATACATTCTTAAAACAAAAGTGGCTAAAATCTGAGTAGAAGTTTGTGTAAAGTTTTCTGTGAAATTTCACTGTCCTCCATCTTCCTTTATCTTTATACCAGTATTTGCAATAACTAATGGAAAAAGAACAGACTAACTGCCCATACATACTTTTAACATTAGAAAGGCTACAAAGAGGAGACCTGTTCAGCCTATTTACAAAGTAACTGCAAGTGGCATGGCAAAAAGAGCATCACAGTTTTGATCCTTCATTCACAGGATAGAAAACCAAACCCAGAAATAATATGAGCAAAATATCCATCACATGAATCTCATTTAAAATAAACTATTTAGAGATTTATAAAAAATAATTTGGTACTGACAGGTGAAAATAATGTTTTGGTTTCGATTGAAAGTAGTTTATTATTCTAAAGAATACACGATACGGTCATTTAGGATTTTTTACTTTTTGCCTTTATCTCATATGACAACTTGGTTTTGGAGTCATAGTCCTGATTTGTCTCCATTTAACTTTCACCTTTCCTTAATTGCTTAAAGTCCTTAAACTTTTTTCTTGATTGTCATGCATTTAGATTGTTGTTTTTTTTTGTACTAAGGATTAAAACATAGACTCACATGGGCTATGCCATTCTATGTGACTGTGATTCTCAAATGGTGGTGCACAACAGGCCAAGTGCTTGGCAGGTTTTAGTGAGCTTCTCTGTGCCAGGGCAGTGAACCTAGTGCACAGTAGTGACCTCGTCTGGCTTCTTAGTTGACTGAGAGAATTACAGTATTATTTACACCTGGGTCTGTCTTCAATACAATTTTAACTTTGCAGCAGGTACTACAGATCTTACAGTAGTAAATAAGACAGACACATAACAGAACACACATTGCAGGAAGTATGCATGTGTTATTTTGAAAGTTCTATATTATTACTGGCACTGAGTCGCAATGGTTAGTGCAGCTGAATGACATTTGGGGATCTCAAATAAAAAAAGTAATAAAAAAAGACTTCCATCCACTTTAAATTTTCATTCTTTATGTTGGCTTTTGATCATGAGTTCCTAAGAAAATTCTGGCCCAAGGAACGTTGGCATCTAGCAATTTTTGGAACTTTCACTTGTGGTTGTGTTGAACTTTTGATTTAATCTTGCCTCATTTTTTGGTTTCAGAAATAATCAACTTTAGGCGCACTGTTGCCAAGAAGGCAGAACTCTTTTCAGTTTGCTCACGACTGTTTGATTGGATTGTTCCTGCCTTGTTTATGTTTAAAGGACTCTGAATAGGTTAGGTTAATAGTTAATAATGTGTAATCAAAAGTTTGCATTACGCTTTTATCAAACATTGCAATAATGGGCATACATTCATTATTTTTTCAACAGCCTAACTTCCTAAATGACTGAAAGGCATTGTGAAACCCTGAAAATGTCAAAGGGCTAACGCTAATTTCTAACCTCGCACAACTTTAGAAAAGCTTGAAAAATAAGGAGAAATAAACTGGATCAAAAGTATAGTAGATCAGTTAAAAGATCAATTACAAAATTAATAGCTCATTTAGAACAGATAGTAGTGGAATTGGAGCAGGAGATGCCGAAGACCGCTTGAAAACAAATCTGGTACGGTTAATAAGTTTCGTTTCCTGGTACCTCTTGACTGAAAACATTTAACCCAATGCTACCACCTACAGGTTAAATAATATATATATATACTGTATGAGGCACCATTGCTTTATTTGCAGAATAACTGCACTCCCTGTTGAAAATAATACATCCTCATCTCACGGTCATTGATTTTTTTGGCACAAATCAAAATTGTTAATTGCATAACTGAAAATGATAAAGGAAGACTAAGATCTCACTACCTGGCACTCATACAAAACGTTTGAAGAAGAAAAAAAACTTCATAACGAATAGGTGGAAAACTGCATTTCCAGATATTTTTTTCCAGAAAAAGCTTTAGATTCCAAAAACATTTATTCCATCAAGCAGCTGATAATGTATGGATTTTCAGTCCTACACTCTGTATGATTACACAGAACCATTTTTATTCATTTTTAATCGGATGCTAAGATCTGTGGAGTGCTCACAAGCTCATTAAATGTGTTATTAGAAAACATTAACACATGTAGAAAAGAAGGTTACCAGTGGAAATATGTTATATCTTTATTACGGGGCGGGGGGATAGAAACTGACTTACTATCAGTCAGTTCTGATGAAAGTGCCATTATTAAATAAAAAGAAAAACATAAATAAAAATGGTCATCCTATGGAGATTGTTCCTTGTTTTAGTATGTGAGTGCATACAGTACATTGATAACAAGCTAAGTTTCGACAACACAGGGTATGTTTTTACAGAAGCCATGCAGAGATTATTTTTCTTTTTTATTATTATTTTTCTCCATGTATTTAAAACTTCAATGGTTTCATTGCTGAGAAGGTTGATGAGGTTTGATGTAAGCAAACAGATCTTAGAACTGGCCTACAGTATGTACTGTACGTCTTGTGGAGAGTATGCTTTCTTTTAACAGCTCTGCTTAGTATGGGAATTGTGGCGCCAGGGGTAGAGACAAACTCTCAAGGATTTTAAACATGGCCAGAAAAAATATTGTTCAGAAATAGAACCTGCTGAACCAGTTGTATGCTATGGGTGTTTACAGGTAAGCAGTATTAGAAGTCAATGATGCCTCATGCCACACTCCATTCCTAATGATGAATTCCTAATGCAAGAAATTGTATAGAGCTAATAAACTGATGTGTTAATTTGAAATACTACCATCTGGTAGTTTTTTAGAGTACCAAAAGGCAACATAAATATTATTTCAATTTATTAACAAATTTAGTCATTTGTTCCGAAAGCCATTTTTAATTTGTTAAACTCTGTGTGTATAAGCCCCTTCAGAACACTGTATTGACAGTGTTACCGTACAGTACTGTATACAGTGTATGCATGCCACACTTGAATCGGATGGTGTTCCTATTGTATTGTTATTTATGTTTCAAGTACACATCTTGGAAGTCCATTGAGTGTTTCATGTATTCAGGACCTGTTCCCTTCAGTGAAGTCCAAGGATGTCGACTATGCAGTATGTGGATAATAATATAGATCCTGATTCTGAGGCTAGATAAAAAGTGTTGTCTATGTTCTTGTCATCTGAGGTTTCTTAATCAGGTTTCATAATGTTCACCACATACTTCAAACCTTTGGTGGTGATACTTATGTAGACCACGAGGAGGAGTGGCATTTTCTGATGGGTTGCCTGGCAACCAATGCCATTGTCTCATACCAGTACAAGACTGCATTATTTTAAATAAATGTTATGAAAGCTGCTCATTTACATTATATAATTTGCATTATATATCCACTGATTTATTTCGTTCCGTAATTATTTCCAATATTGTACAAATATGTGGTCTATTGGCATATGACAGGAAGGCTGTTTTCTGATGCAAATCGACAACTACTGTACATTTTTTTTTTAATATTACAAATTGCCTGATCGGCAGATTAAATTAAAATTTCTCTTTCATTACCTTTCATCCTTTTTTTTAAATCACTTAACATGTTTATTGCCAGCTAAACAAAAAACAAAATGCCATGACCGTTTCTGCCATTCAAGAGAGTGTACTGCTTCTATTTATCGACATTGTGTAATTGCTTGCAATACAGCGCTATTTATTTTCATACATTTTTTGCAGTTTAGCATGGGTTAATAATATCATGAGAAAGATAAATTATTTATTATCCAACAGTAGGCACTATTGCACAGTATATTTGGATACTAGCCCGCTCACGAAGTTTGCAGATTTCTGAGGTTTCAGAGCGCCTGCGCTGATTTGAAGCGTCTGGCGGTTCTTCTGTTGTTTCGTAACACAGTTGCACTTCCTGCGTGCTGTAAAGACAGACTCTTTGTATTACAATACCTTACTTTTGTAGGTGTTATATTTTTAAGTTGCTGTACAATGGTGGAAGGACCTGGGTGCACAATAAACGGGGAAAAAATCCGCTCTAGAGTTCAGAAAGGACAAAAAGTGAAAGAGATTAAAGGAGGGGCAACACTGGTAAGGTTTCTAAACGTGTCCATGAAAGACGTTTTAACTACGCTCTTTACTGTTTTAATTCTGAATACTGTTTTAAAACGCCCATGTTCCCGTTTTCAGCGTGTTCCACATTTACTGAATGATCGGTTTTTGTCCGTAAACGGCAGAGTTTTCCAAATCCACGCAGAGACGAGTCAATGTGTACTTCTAAGTACATGTCAATAAGTTCTACTGTATACACACACATTTGAAACGCAGATAAGGGGTTTATATATTAAGAAGTCATATAGTTTCACAAAGCATTTATTGCATCTGCTTAGAAAGTACTTGTATGCAGCACCTGAAATGTCAGCCCGTATGGCGCTAGAGGTTATACTGTACTGGTGTTTTGTGAAAATAAAGTATAGAATAAATTGTCAAAAAATATTAGTATCATGCCCAATGTACTGAATAGTTTATATTTGAGAATACATAAATCAGTGCATCACTTGTGATTTATAATTCCTTAATGTATTGCATTTATGATCAATTCATCATAATTCAGAGACAATTAGTACAAAAGTGAAGGTAGCATGTATGTAGTTGTTCACACTAAATGATTTTTTTCCCCCTACCGTTAACACATGTTTCTCCATACAGCAGAATGGACCTCATGCTGGATCTCTTCAGAGTTTCACTGGCTGTCAGTTCACAGGGGTGGAGACTCTGGGAAAGGAGCTCTTTATGTACTTTGGTCTGAGAGCGCTCAGGTACTGTAATGCATTTGTGGATTTTTCCAGCTACTCGCTGGAACAAAAAACGTTCTTACAGTATATAACTTTTTTACCGGATCTCTTTCCCAGTGTACTGTAGTGGTTATCAAATGCTTCAAAGGATAAAAAATAACATTTTTTGGAGTGAATGCTTTTTTTCTAATGTAATTCCTTGTTGTGACTTTACCTTTTTTGGTATTTAATATGACTGTCATTGACTTTCAGTATTAAGAATTGTAATGCAAAAGCAAATTCCACTTTTTGGTGACTTAGCACTTATCAATTTTAGCTAGGAGTCAATCTTAGAGGGTTCAGTTGAATAGTTGATATTACTGTAAGTGGCCCATAAATGCAGGTTTAAGTAGTTGTTGTGCAACTCCAGCCAGGAGGTCTGCAGTCCGGTGACTTTTAGATGGCTCTTTAAATCATCTTCAAAGATTTTGGGGAAAGGCTTGGGTTAGCCCAAATAAGCTTTATAATCCTTAAATCAAATAAGATTTAGCTTTAATTCTAGAAGCGGTATTCTTGATATTCCTGCTTTTTTTAGTTTTTTTTAATTACATTTTTTTTTACAGGAAAAATTGTATATGTGGTATATAAATACAGTTTATACATGTGCAAAAATATATACTCTACATCCTCCGTGTTACACATCCCTGAACCTCAGAATGCATTACATTGATGCAGGTTAAAAAATTAAGAACCGAGGTCAATTTCAGAATTCAGTATATTTTGTACTACGTGGTTTTTTGTGTGTGCAAAAATGAGACCTTAAGTAGTTTGATGGCAGTGATTTGTAACCCAAGGAGAAAATGTCCTACTAGCATGGCCCTATAAGTTCAACCATTGTCTTTTCAGAGTCCATTTTGGGATGAACGGCTCATTGCGTATCAACCCCAGCGAGAGACAGGACAGAGGAGGAATGCCATCTGCCCTGGAAGTTAGTTTGACCAAGGATACTGTGTGCTTTTTTGAGTCAACAGTTGAAATCAGGTGATCTTTCTTTTTATCTTAACGGCGTAACTCTGAAAGAAAAGGCACAGTGTTGGAATGTGCTATAAAATGATTATCGACCTCATCACAATTCAGAATTAAGGCAAGGTGACTTTTCTTTTTCATCCATTTGATCAAATTCAGATTGATTTTTCACTGATGTTCTTTCATCTCAATAGTCAACCCCTCTTTTTCTGAAGAAAGCTGTATTCCAGCTAAACATTATTCATATTCCTGCGTACCTTCTCATCAGTATCTTAAATGACTTAATCTGTTTTCCTTTAACTTTGTTTTCAGCTTTGTGAATTGAAGACTATTTCCATTGCATTCGTGACGTCAGAAACATTTTTCAAAGTCTTATTAGCTGAAGCAACCAAAAAACACCTTAAAATTCTGAAATATTGCAATATCTTCACCTATTAGTTATAGAAGTGTAACAATACATTTATGAAAGTGAAGAAAGGAAATAAACATTTCACTGTATATCCAGGGTAATTTAGTTATTTTGGCTTGAGCTCGGAAAGTATTCTGTTTTTTTATTTTTGTTAATTCAACACTGTAGTGATCAAGCTGAGCACTTACAGTAAATGTTTGTAAATTCAAAGAAAATATACAAACTGATTTTTACTGATTGCAAGTTTGCCTTTGTAGAACTTCCTTAGGCAGTAATTAGTGCCCTGATTCTTTTTGTATACTATTGATCTCTAATGATCAGCTGACCACTCCTTGGCAAAAATCTCTGGTTCTGACAAGCTCATTCAGGTTTGTTTGATTGTCTGTAATCTCTATAGTTTTCTGTGAGATTTAAGTGAACATGATGATGGTTACACTAAAGGACATGCTCTCTCTTTGTCAAACCACTACACAAACCAGTGTAGTTTTGGCCATGCCCTTCAGCAATCCTGCCATTTTGTTTTTCCTCTAGAATTTGCCTGCTCCTTGCCTGATCCACTGTCCCTCATTCCTGACACACCCCCTTGTCCATGCTTACGAGAGATCCTCTAACTTGATACCACGACCACCTTGCTTGATAGTTGTGATGGTTTTGACTGGATGATGCTCTGTTTTGTGTTGGGGCCAGACGCAGTTCCTTCCATTAAGACCAAAAAGTTCAGTTCTTGTCTCTTCTGACCACAGATCCATCTTGTCTGCACTTCTGTAATGATTTTTATTTTACGAAGACTGTTGACTATAAAAGTTCATAGACTTTGTGCAGGGACTGCTGTTGGTGAAGTTGATGTATAAACACAGACTCCCGTCGTGGATACTTTGCAAATGTTTCATTTACGATTGGTTTCACAGCAGCATCCCTAACCAGTTTCCTGCTTGCCTGGCTGCTCAGCCCTGGGTGGTATGACGCACATTATTCTTGTTAATGATGATCAGTTACTTTGAAGTTTTCTTGTAATGTTCCTCTGATCTGTGCATCTCTACCATTTCATCCCTGGCTTGTTCTGAAAATTATTTTGTCTAAATGGTTGATTTGTCATGTACTGTGTGTTTTGGCCTGAATTTAATATCTTACCAAGGGTACTTACACAGACACATTAATTAACTCACATACACTCTAATTACATACAGAAAAGACAATTAAACATTTTACGTGACCTTTCAGACTAATATTTTACACCTGAACTGATTTAGGGTTGCTGTAGCAAAGGGGCTGAATATGCTTCGATATTCTTGAGGGTGGATATTTATGCAGTTATGAACCCTCTCGTTTTCTTTGGAAATCTATCATAGTTATGTGTAGTCAGTTATTTTTTTTAACTTTATCCATTTTAAATAGATTGTGTAAAATCTAAATATAAATCCCTGTTTCAAAATTTCATGACTGCAAAGTCAGATGGCAGCAAAAAGTGAAAATGCTGAATATTTTTGCCCGGCACTTTTAAAAAAAAATATTTTTTGTTATTGATTTTAACAGACTCACTGCTGATTGTCAACAGAAAGTTAGGGCATTTGAAAGCCTGGATGTTTGCTCTCCTAAATTCAGCTTCTCCAGAGCAGAGGATGAGATCAGGAAGCAGAGAAATGACATTCTTTGTGATGTGCTGCTGGACCAGAATGTTTTACCAGGAGTTGGAAACATCATCAAAAATGAAGCTCTTTTTGACAGCGGACTGCACCCTGCTGTTAAGGTACATACAGTAATTATACTGTAAGCCCAGAAAGCTGTTAAGAGCTTACCAGCATAAACATTGTATGAGCAAAAATTAAGCTCTTATGTTTCTTAAAACTCTATACAGTATTTACATTATTCTTATGGGGAAGAAAATCCACTGTACTGTATATGTTATTTTGCTAAAAGTTGTGTGTTTTTGTCAAGTGCCTCACATTCCTCTTAAAGATTCCAACTATTCCATAATGCCTATGCGTCCATGGCTCTGTGATGAACTGGCCTTCTATACAATCCTGTACTCTCTGTCCTGCCTTGTGCTAGTGTCACCAGGATAAGTGCTTTGTGAAGCCACAAACTGTCCCTTTTTAAAGATTATAAACTAGTGCTCTCTTTCTGTACCTGCTCTCAAAGATTTTATTTATCACAGGCATACACTGTATTTTACCCTTTTGGCTAAAATGTTACAATTACTAATGAATATTTTTGTGTCATAAAAGCATGTACGATGGGTGATACTGTTACAGAAAGTACATGTTTTTTACTTTAGTTTTACAGTATGTACTATAAATGCTTAGTCACAATGTCATTACTTCTTATTAGGATGACAGCAAAACTGTTTTCTAAGTATATGCAAGCAACACATGCTCATCTGAAACTTGGCTCAGCAAGAGTACAGTAAATATTATGTCATGGTAATAGAAATAATAATTTCCTGATACATTTTTGACATGCAATTTGCCATAAAACTCAGTGCAAGTTTTCACTTGCTCACAGCAGTGGCAGTGACAATGTCGTAATCTACGGGGAGAAGCTTATATAAAACTAGATGTTATATGCCAAATAATCCAGATGCATGATTTAATTTTAATTCACAGTAAATGCTGAACACATCTACAAGGATGATCAACTTTATTCTTCTGTCGAAATGAACTTGGAGCAATTCATTTTGCTTTGCGTAATATTGTTTTTTCTTGTAATAGCTGGAAATGTATTCACAGGTATTTTACTAACCCAGCACAGGTAAATCGTGGCAGGTACCGCAAACCAGCAGTTGTCTCATTGTGCCTTCTTGTACTTTTATTCATGAGAACATGAAAAAAGTTACATGAGGAGAAACCATTTGGCCCATCGAGCCCGTGTAGTAGTTTGTAGCCTACTGACCCAAGGATTTCATTCAGCACTTTCTTGGAAGAAATCCAATCATACTGACATTGCACATCACAGATCATTGATGTTAAAATATTTTGCACTACTTGCATGCATGATATTAAATTTGCATTACTGATTTCTTCTCTGTTTTCTATGCTCATAGGTTAGCCAGCTGACAGAACTGCAGATTCGCCACCTTGTGAAAATGACCCGTGATTTTACCCTTCTCTTTTACAAGGTAACTGCGCAGGCCTTCTGGTACAGTGTAGTGGCTATACTGTACTAATGCAAATTCCTTACACTTAATGCAATCGTATAAATGGGTGTTGAAAAAGATCTGCAAGTATCATGTAAGTGTAGCGTTCTTCAAAGATGAGTTTTTTCTAGTTACTTGAAGTTAAACATGAAGGTTCTTTGATTTTTGGAATGTTATTTTAGTGGGATGCATTGGAAATAGGAAATTTTGTATGTATTCATATAAATATTAAACATATTTAAACACCTTAAGGTCAGATCAATACACTTTTCTGAAACATTAAGGGTCTCGTGATAAAAGTAGACATGTTCCCTCTTGTGACAGATTTGAATATTTCACAAATACAAAAAAGGTTATGATATTTTGGATTTTTAAAAGCAGACTACATTTCTATTATGAATATAGTTGACTATGAGTACAAACAGTTGTCTTAAAATGAATGTATTTGTGTGTCTATGTGTAGAAATGTATGAATGTACTGTAGCAGAAATTGTTACTTTAAGCAGATATATTAATTAACTACAGTACAGTGTATCTGTTAGTACATAACAGAGTTACGTGATTGCTTCAGCTGGGATTCCTAACAATACAATGCAGATATGCATTATTAATTAAATAATGCAATACTTAAGAAACACTACACATAAAGGGTTTGGAGGAGAGAACAGTATTGTTTTTATTTTTCACTGTGAACAGGCAACTGTCTTCTCTTTTAATTGTCATTGATGAGGATTGACCAGGAGGTTTTTTGAGCAGCACTTCCATATGTTCTCCATTACCTGTACTGCCTATGGATATCTCATGATGCTTTTACATGAACCGAGCATCAAAAGAAACATATTGCTCATGACTGCAGTAGATTAAAAAAAATATTACTAAGAGTGCTGTCATTCATTTGAACAGATGTGACATAGGTAGGTTCATTAATCTATTTAGCATTTGCCATCAACAGCGTTAATCAACAGGCAGTGTACTGTGAAAATCACAGGTTCATAGCATGTGTGGCTACTGGGGGAAGCAACACAAGCTGTACATCTGTGACACGTGCTTTGCACTAGGTTGCATGTTTTGTTTTGTTTGTTTCTATTCCTCTCGTAGAGCCTGGAAGAGCATGTGCCTGTTCACTGGTCTCGGAGCCCTTGATTCCACAGGTCATTAGAGCTCTTTTCGTAAATGTTCAGTGGGCCTCAAGGCTGGTACATACAGTAGGGCATCTACAGTATAAGAGTCACAACCTCATCTCTTGAGAAAGCTGTTTTTACACTAGCAGCATGAAGAAATTCATTTTCCTGCTGGAATACTGTCACATCAGGACGCATGTACTAGAAGGACAGAAAGTAAGGTTCAAGGATGTGATCAATACAGGCGCCACGCTGTCAGGATATTCTGCATACAGGTGCAACTCTTTCTCAAATTGACACTCCTGCCCAGATCATCAACCTTCGCCCTTCCCAATTATTGCCATGTTGTACACAACAACTGTATTAGCGTATTGTTACGAACATCTGCACCACATTTGCTAATATGGAGCAGGTTACTTAACACGAAACTATTGCAAAAGGAAGCTGCTGCCATGTCCATCTGGGATTTTCCTCCACAATACAGATAGCTTGAAGGTCCTGTTGTCGTGTTGAACAAGTAAGGTGGCATATTGGTTCCTTTAAGTATTTTTCTCTCTTGGTTTTCACCAGACTTGACATTCTGCATCACTTCATCACCTGTGCTCAACCAGCCCTCTCACTAATGAGGTGATATACTGCTAATGCAAAAAAGTCACTTGATCTTTTTACAGTCAGACATGATTGATCAATGAATCACAATGATGCCAAAACATATAACCTGTATGCCTTTTCTGAAATAAAATACATGCAGAAATTGAATTATATATTTCTTTGAATGCTCAGTATATACTAGTCATAAAACACAGTTATATGTGTACTGGATGTCATTTAACAGGATATTGAAAATGCCATTTCTTACAAGAGTAGCTAGGGATATTTTTTTATGTTCTGGGGCCTCACAACTCTTCTTTGCCTTGAAAAAGGCATATATAGTAAATAATAACCCAAGGCATCATCCTTGTCTCGTTCAATCTATGATATTGAACCAATATCATTATATGCTAGACCTGTGCCTTGTGGCAAGTCATTATGATGGGGATCAAATGTAACCAGTGTGTACTGTAAAATAAAAAGAGCATGTATAGTTCAACAATGACTGTTCTGAGATAGTCAGCTCTCTTTTATTCAACCCTGCGTGACTTACTTCTGCAAAAGTTTGCATGTTTTAAGAGGCAGGGTTAATTATTTGAAGATTCTACACTAGTATGAGCAAAATGCAAAATTCGAACATCTAAATTTCATTTTTGTTCTATGTTTCTCCAGACTGCTGCGTGTGTAACCCTTCATGTGCGTGTCTAACCCTGTGTAACCTGGTTACACGTGCATTTCATTGAATGTGTAATTTGCATAGTTTAATGCTGACAGAGTATTAATCTATTGGTGAGGACATTGTAACCCAGATTAATACGTTTCTTGCATTTCTTTCTTTGAAGTTGCTAAGGCCCTTTTTTTACAGATTTTCCATACATTTCAGCGGCATTACTATGTCGGTGTGCAGCCACAATTTACTTTGCTACCATACAGCCATTACTCCTGTTATCTTTCCTACAGGAACACATTACTAGTACAGGCCACAGTCCCTAATTCCTCATAACTAGGATGCTGGCTGGAAGAAGATGTGCTTTAGGTCAGGTGTTCCATTTCTAGCATAATTAAAAAGCCACAGGTCTTGTTCTACACATAAAATAGAATAAACGTACAGCTAATTCAGCCTATCTCTCACAGCAGACTAGGAAATCAGAATTAACAGATTACTCATGCGGTCATTGAGAATTAGGTTTAAGCTGTGTAGTAAAATAACTTAATCTAGATCAAAAAACAAATACAGATGTTCTTGCTTTGGTTTGTCATTGATGGAAATAGATAGGAAGAAGAGAAATCCATCCCTATTCAGAGTTTATTGCATGCATTTTTCAAATATTTATTTGGTTGGTAAAATTTAATTTGACCCTAAACCCTGTGAATGCTTTATATGCTGCTAAATGCAAGAAACACATTTTCCAATTACTGGCACATTAAGGTTCTATTAATACAATATTTGCATCCCAAGGACTGTGTTAATATTGAATGCGTTACAGCACATACATAACAGAAGGTCAAAATAAGTATTATGCTCAGTTACTCTTTTCTGGGATTATCAAAATTAAAATTACCTTAAAGTAAGGGAATGTTTTACTTCAGATCTGTGCAACATATACTGTAAATGTTCTCATTTAAGGGGATCAAGAAATATGTGAAGGAAAAGTTCACTTTATTTCTCTGATTTTTCTTTTTTCTTTTTTCTTTTCTCTGATTTTATTTATTCAGTGTCGGAAATCCGGGTCTCCACTTTACAAACATTACAAGGTGTACAAGCGTCCTACATGTGGCCAATGTAATGGACGAATCACTGTCTGCCGACTTGGGGAGAACAGACGGATGACATACTTCTGTCACCATTGTCAAAATCAAGACCCAGGCCAGGTTGATGTTAAGTAAGACATTTCTGTTTTCTTTTAAATAATTCAATATTTACAATGGATTTAAGGCTTATCTGGCAAATGCATATGACTTCCTCCTTGGGTTTTGTTCCAAGATTAAATACATTCTAATTTGCAGAAAAGGAAACCTAAAACTACAGAATCATGACTGGGAATGTATTTTCATGCCTATCGTGCAGAATGTAAGCTTAACTTCCTCCTGCTTCTGTTGGACGAAGCTTTAAGGAGTTTGATCACAAAGCCCCAGTTGCATTAAATGGCTGTTTTAGAATTTTGAATTCTTAATTTATCTCAAAACTTAAGTTTTCCCCACTGTGTCTTTTTGTTCTACGTACTCAATGGGAAGTAATTTGTAGATGAAACACTGTTCAAATCAGTAAAATAGCATAATGGTGAAAACTAAAGTAAACTTGTTTCTTTTTGTGTTTGGATGCTAAAAACATCTTCTCTTCTGTATTTTTGCATTTTTTATTTATAGATTTGTATTTATGGATAAAGGTACATAGCATTACACCTAATTACATAAGCATGTTACACAGCATTTTGGTTGTTGAACCTTCTTCCAGGTAAAGAAGGCTTACTCCTGAAGAAGGCTCAACATCCAAAACAATTCTTCATTCTACTTTTTAGTGAGGAATTTCGACTTGTTTCTGTACCTTAAAAGTCATCTGCTAGGTGTTACCCCACTCTTATATTCTACCAAGTATTATACCAATTTCTTTTGCAGCTTCTAGTGTTTAGTAATCCACCTATTTTGCTTATCATCTCTGTGACTAGATTGCTACCTATAGCAGAATCTGCTAGATCATTGATATAAATATAGAGGAAGATCTGTATTAGGTTCACTGCGCTTGCTAATTGCATCACAGCGGTATGATCATTCACCCCTTATTTGTACTTATTTGTTTTCTAATGCATGCATTTCCTTTCATGCCTACTTCTTCCAAATTAAGAATTAAACTTTTATGAGGGACGTGATCACATATCTTTTGAAAATCTAAGTATACCACATCATATTCTCAGTTTGTGTCGATTATTGCAGTCGCTTAATATGTTAATTAAACAAGACCTGCCTTTTCATAATCCCTAGGATCCTATTTCCATATAGATGATGCTGTAGTATAGTTCTAATTATTGTTTCCATAACCTTTCATTTGATAGAAGTTAGATGTATAGGTCTGTAATTACTTGCTTATCTTTGATTTTTTTTAGCAAACTTCCAGTCAGGAATAGTTTAGTAGGCTTGGTATATCAAGGAAGGATGCAGTCTAATGATCACATTGCCAAAAAGGAAGAAGAGGAATGGACTTGTGAACTCTGCACTTTGATAAACCAGCCAAGTGCTAAAAGCTGTAATGCCTGTTTAACACCTAGGCCTAAACGTAAGAAAAACCTTAAACTTCTTAATATTTATTGATTAAACAGAAAGATTTTTTGCTTATTGTTCTTTTACTACTAATTTATGCTAAACTACATGTTTTTCCCTCTGCAGTTTCTAAAGTGGAGATTAATGAAGAGTTTTCATCTTTTACTAGAGATTTGATCAAATTTCCTCATAATGCCTTTGCCAAGCCCCAAGAGGAGATTAAACTCAACAGAAAAACTGTGTTTGGAACCTCTACACTTGTCATTACAGATTTCAGCAGAAAGCCTTCCCCATTGACAAGTCCCCAGCTAAATTCTGAGAAAAGTAATTTGAATCCTTTGGTCACACACAGCAGTTTGAATAAACACAGTTTTATCCAGGGGAAAACAGGTCCTAATTACACTCTTACTGGCTCTTCGAGCAAAAGCTCAGAGCCGTCTGGCAGGGAATATGCCTCTTCCTTCCATCAGCCAACAAAGAAAATGAAAATGGATAGATCCTCTTTTTTAAGTAACAATGCACAAACCTGGAATTCTAACTCAGTATTCAGGTATGTTGTGCTTTTTTTGCTTGCATGGGTTCATTGTGTAAAGTTCTTTTTCCTTAAATGAAGGATGTTTTCATTGTAATCGAAATGTAGGAATGCAGTCACACAGGTACGAGCTGATTGCTAAGATTACCTTTTCACCTAGCTTGTCATAAGTATCATATATCTTTAGGTTTTCGAAAAGTCAGTCTCTTGTATTTTTTTAGCGATACTGTCGGTACAAATGCATTATTTTGGGGGGGGAAAGGAATTTCTGGAAAGAAATTTCAATAATTGAGCATTCGCAGCAAGTGAAATATCATTAAAAGACATTTTTTATTGATACATTCGGTTAAAAATAGTTTTGAAGGCATGTGTCTTTATCACCTTGCTGGATAGCAAAATAACGATCCTGTGGTTTTCAGTGAACCTGGTGTTAACAAGACAGATGGCTCAGCTCCAGCATCTCATGGGAAGCCGTGCTGCACCACCCACAGACAGCAGTGTGCTCTCAGGGTCGTAAAGAAGGAGGGTGAAAACAAAGGAAGACAGTTCTTTACGTGTTCTTTACCACGAGAGACCCAGTGTGGTTTTTTTGAGGTAAGCAAAACTTTGAAAAGTGTCTCCTAAAGCTTTCTTTTCATTCTAATGTGCAATGCACTACTTACCTTGATTACAAAGCATGATGGCTGTCCTGCCCTGTGTCGCAATGCGATGCTGGTGATGCTCTGACTTGTTCAGGCTTTAGCCTTTTGTTTGCAGCAGTCCGAAAACTGTAATTCAAGCATCAGAGAGGTCGAAACAATTTCAGATGGGGTTTAGAGATATTCCTTATACCGCACAATGTTGAAAACATCTAAAATTTCCCGTACTAGGTAAAACACAATGAAGAAATTAACGTAAAATTCTTTGCAATGCATTGAATTGGATAATTTTCCATTACTCTATCCGAAAGGTTTTTAAATGACCCCAAAAATAGTGTAAGTACTGTAAATAAGACTGTAACGAGGACATAAGCATTTCTTGTTAAGTGCCTGTTCATTTACTAGTATATCTACTAGTTGTAGTTTATTCATCATTTTGTCTACAATATGTTTAGAAGGGTCTCAGTACTATGTGGGAAACAGCACTTTACCCTTAGGGTGCCTCTAATTAGATTTTACAATACCAATACATATGTGTATTTGTTTCTTTCCTATATGTTTTTGTATATGGTCAGAAATACAATAAAGTAGTGTGCAAGCTAATGCTTTTCTTAATGAAATGGGACAACAAACTACATTGATTATGTTATACAGTATCTCCTGATCTTATCACAGGTAACAATACATGTGCTGCATTAGTCTGGAACAATTAAATTAATGCAGAACAGGGGCAATAGATCAGTGTTGATAAATCAGTTTACTTCTTTCACTTGTGTAAAAGTATGTAATTTATAGCTAATAGTTCAGGTGGGTAGCTGCGTCAGCATGTGTAGGCTGCAAAGGAACAAGTCATGGGTTTATTCCATGCTGAAAAGAAAAGAAAGAAAACGCAACATTTCAGCTATGGAACCTTCTTCAGGTGTGAGAAAGACTGCCCTGTCTTTCTCATTCATTTATGTTCATATATAGTTAATTATGCATATGTGAGTGAATATTAATGACACATTTTCTTTTTCAGTGGGCTGATTTACATTTCCCCACCTGTCATCATGGTAAACGGTGCCTCATGAGAACTGTGCTGAAACTCGGCCCCAATAATGGACGGGACTTTTATGTCTGTCCTCTAGGAAAGACTAAGCAGTGTGACTTTTTCCAGTGGGTTGAAAACAGCCCAGCAGACAGGCCGTAATTCTGAGTGATCGATGAATATTTTTAGTAGTTTTCGTTTTACCCCGTGTTTTGAATTTTGTAATTCACCTGAGCAAAACTGAAAATATAAAATTAAAATACAATCTGCAGTTTTAAAATTTGGAAACACAAAATTATAACCTGCATGTGTTTGCATCAGTCTAGATTGCTTATGACTGATTTGCAAAAACTCCTTTCTTGTCATTCTCCGTTCATGACTGAAGAGAAAGCACAAAGAACATAGCCTCTATGTCTTCCAGTGTGTACACCTCCTGATTAAAATGAAAATGTATTAAAATGTATTTATGACTTTTATATACTTCCAGCAGTAATCTTCAGTTCAGGTGACAATTTTAATATTGTGATTTTGTGTTTGTGAGAAAATCCCATTAATTTCCTGTACAATCTTGAAATGTATATGTTTTAAATTCACTCATATAATATTTCAATTAAATTGAAGTTTATATAGAAAACTTGCATTACTGTTTATTCAATTTAAATTGCTGCTTTCAGTAGCATCTTTAAAATGCTAAACTTCTCAAAATACCCTTAGAATGTATGGCTTTGATATTTTAATGATACTTTAACATACAGGAGTGTAACACAACATATGATTGCAGAGGAATAATCTAATCATTTACCGATGCATACTGTAGTAGTTCTTAAGGAACACAAGAACCACCTTAGATTCAAATTTAGCATTAATGGTGTCTGCACTTTGGTCCAGTTTCTTTTCTTTAGCCACCACTGCTAAATTTTATTATAAGCTGGAAAAGTGGAATAATAATGAGCTAACAGTAAAACATTAATTGCTTTATACACAATACTACAAATAGAACAATCTGTAATTATTCTGACACTGCTGTAAGTAAACGCCTTTATATAAAATACACATTTATATGGTAATGGAAAGCAAAGTATTATTTATTTTAATTAAAATATTTTAATATACTGTACACTTAATATATACACTTCTACATAATTGTTCTCTGCACATACACAGTTTTTTATGGAATGTGGCACTCCTTTTAATTGAGTTATATCATAGCCCACAATATCTTATTTCAAATTTCATAAACATTCACAATTCCGTTTCCTCTGATTTAGCTAACAAGGGTTCATTTCAGCTTAATGTTTTTTTAAGATTTTAAAACCATTATAAAATATCTTATACACAAAAAGTGTAGTGAGCTAAACTCTACTGACAAAATACCATTGGATTTCATCTTTCAAGTAGGAAAATCCATTAATAAAAAGACACCAGCTCCACAATTTCCATTGCTTTCTTGTTTGTGTCTACTTCAAGAAAAGATTACATCAGGAAAGCACAGCTGCAGAAAAGAAAAATCAGGCTTGAGCAACACTCTACCCGATAAGCAGATTATTGTTTGGGATGTCAGGATTATCTGCTTTGCAATACTTGCAGTTTTTGTTTTATCTTCATGTCTACAATTGACAGTATGATCCTTAAAAAGGGATTAAAATTGTAACAGACAGTATAACTTCTATGTCCCAAGCCTTGGATACAACAATTTAACCAGTCAGACATAACTTTTGCACACTGTATTACCTGAAGTGCTTGAAATGTCATGTATTAGAGCACAAATTTCCATCACTGGATCTCTAAACCTCTAGCAGTTATAAAAGTATTTTTTAGGGATTCAAGTGAAAATAAGTATTGATTTTATTACAAAAAAGTGCTCTTAATAATTTGAAAGTCCATCCTAGCACTGTACTTACGATAAAGTAAATATTTCTTTTAGGAAAAATTAAAACGGGCCAACCTCTGTTGGTCTTAAACCAATACATTTTTTTTCAAATAACATGCCAGAAAGCTAAAAGATTTTGTAGCAATGTGTTGTGGAATTACCAAGAACACAATGGGAAAACATACACATTCATCATATTGGACAGCAATCCATGTCTTAATTAAAACAACCATTAAGCTACATAATTAAAATGATCAAAAGTGTTTCCACTATGTGAAAGTTACTACTACAGTATATAATTTTACTGGTGTCTGGGTGTGACTCAATTTTAAACATCTGCATTCTTAAATATCTAGCAAAGTTAGTGGTTTAGGCTGGGAACTCACTTAAACCCACCTGATATCACACACTCATTTAATATATTCACAACTCATTTAACTTCCTACATGCATAATCTCATTATCTGCGGAGTACTCATTAATCATTCAACAGCTGATGACAACAGCCAGCGGATGGCAAGGCCAGAATGTTCAGGTTCACCTCCTCTCTCCTGTCTTGGCCTGACAGGGAAGGTGGTGCAGTCTTTGACCAAGGTTTGCAGTTCACTGCTGTTCTGGCAAGGGCAGCTGTCACAGTTACTGGAGGCCAGAGGTGACCATTAAGGCGCTATTGCTGTTCTTTATCATCACATAATGTATCCCGACCGAAATTAGATTGCAGTTTTTTTTCCAGTCTACAGACCATGACTGGCACTAGCAAATCGATCCATCCATTTTCTAACCCTTTTTATCCAGGGCAGCCTGAGCCTATCCCAGCCAGCAGTAGGCAGAAGGCAGGACCTACTGGAGAACATGGAATATTCCAAATCTGAGGGGAACCCGATCCCCGTTTATTTCTGGTTAATGTCACACCAGGTGGTTTTAATGGAACACCATGCAAACTTATTGGTGGATTTTACAGCTGTAAAGAATACCAACCTTAAACTCTTGATTGAGCCCTTTATGGTTACAATTCATTGCTGATTAAGTGGGTTTGTGAACAGAGCTCAGGTTGAGTTGTCAACTGCTCAATTAAAATGGTGCCAATTCACATGTCGGAATCAGGTGATCTGATCTCCTGCTGCTTCCCAGCCCAAGTGCCAGTTAATTTTCCAGTTAACAGCATTAGTATTACTTGATTGATTTCATGTATTACAGTATTTATGGATAAGCTCTTGTATATACAATTTTTGTTTCCCCCCCCATCTTCCAATAAAATAAATTTGATCACAACACAAATGCAAGGAAAAAATCTATTATCCAACAGCAATGATCAGGGACATTCACATCATAAAGAAACTTTCCATTAACATCTGAAATTTAAATGCAATCCACCACTTTCTGAACTGCCGAATTTAGCTCGGAGTTGTAGATCATGAAAGGAAATTGAGAAAATCCTTGAACTTTATTGCATGCTGCACCTGCAAGCAAAAAAAATAACAGTAAATGTATACCAAACATTACATGAGAGCTTTTCAATACATTTATCATTTGCATTTTTGTCCCCCACAACCTGAAACAGTTAAATATAGTCCCCCACAGATACTCACCATATCCTCCTGTTGCATTTGCACAAATCAATGCACCGAAGAAGCAAGGAACGTGCTCTTTAATTCTAGCAATCGCAGTTTCACATGCGGTGGCTGGATTCATTCCTTGCCTCATTAATTCCACAGCAAAGAAACTTAAAATTCACAGAAGAAAACAAAAATCCATATTTAGAAAGTAGCGTTTCCAATTTTTACATTTTATAACAAAGGCATCAAGTAATATTTTCCTTGGCATATTCAGCAGGACTGTCTAGCCCAAATTGTGGAGGGCCATTGTGCTTGTAAATGTTTGTTCCAGTTCTGGATTCCAACAGAACTACACACAAAAAAACGAACAAAAAAAAACTTTACTACAAGATTTTTTTGGTATTCAAAATTGAAATTTTGTACACAATAGCTTATTGGGGAGCTCACAAAAGCAAGTTTACCATTTATTATAAATCAAAAAGATCCAATCATATTATATACCTAGAAATTTGCAACACAATGTGCTATTGGCCAATTCGTGTATGTATTTGAGATGTTGAAACTGGCAAGCCTGGTTGTGCATTTCTGCACATGGGTTTAATGCATCAAAGAAGTTTTAAAACTTTCTAGATACCCAAGGGTTATGGTTGCCGGTTAAAGGCTTAGTAAAACCAAGTCCCCCATACTGGAGATGAAGAAACTGAATATTCGATATGTGCAAGAGGCCGTAGAATTAGCAGATCCTCCTCCACACTGCAAGGGAATACTTCAGTAAACTTCCAGCTGACAAACACACGCTTTCTGCTTTTTGAGCACCTTCTGCCACGTCGGTTCATTCGAGCTGAAAAATCTGCTTAACGCGGTCTTATCAAAATCTTTTACAAGTCGGAGAACCTTGGAAGGAATCGCATCATGATATCCCCATTTCCGGTCGCCACGGCTCCCCCCACTGTGCTGTCAGCGTAGGCCCCGGCTCCAGCAATCGGCGAGTCCCCGACTCGGCTGCGGCACCAGAACAAAACAGAGCTACATTCAGAAATAACGCACCAAGGAAAGTTGAAATCTGGAAGCAAGGGATGGGGAGTATACAGGAAAAAAAAAAAAAGGATTGAAGAGTGTGCTTTACTTCACCCATGAAACGCCCCCCTCCACAGGCATTCGACTTCATACAACTTGAACAAGAAAGTCTTGAAAATGACTATTTACCATAAGCAAGATAACTGCAGGCTTTCAAAATGCTACTACCAGCTTTCAAACATAACAAGATTTCCAAACTTTAGTACCCAACCACTGTGAGCTCACAATAATCCAGAGTAGAAATGTCTATCACACTGCATAAAACAAGCCATTTTTCAGCACACCATTTTCTAATAGCTGCATCCGATACAGCTTTCACACACTAGACTTCAATTTGAATAACAAATGTCCCGCACAAGTTTCCTGTAAATAAATTTACATTTGGATTATCAAATTCAAAATACAAAAGAGACTAGAGTATGGGAAACCTTTAGTATGGAGTTGCCCATTTAGAAATATTAATGGACATTGAAATTAAAACAGAACGGTGAACTAGGCAGATTAGCACATGCAGCTATCATAACTAACATGCTTGTGTTGAAGAACATTAAAAATGGCAAAGTTAGCTCAATAAAATTATCTGGTTCATTAGCATCAGCACTGATCACAGTGGTTGCCAATTGAAATGATCCTATATGAAATTGTTATTGTTCTTTCAACCACATTTAAGGAGTGGGCACACTCAGCTCACTGGACACAAAAGGTAACCTGCAGCATGGAACACAAAGTTAAATAAAAAGTAATTTTAATTCTCACTCTCTGCTTAATAAAATTCAATATTATACAGCAAGGACACAACTACCCTGACACTTATTTCAATCTGCTGGAGCAGAACACTCACAGCATAATCCTTTACTAATTGATACACAGTAGTTTAATACAAACCCTGGGATCTTGTGCCTTGCTCCATTAGTTGATGTTCCAGCAGCAACATGTCCTTTCTGATTGATCACAATCATCCCTAAATGAATGGAAATAAAGAAAATGGTGAGCCATGACTTTCTGAATAGCTACTGTATAAGCACATGTACACAGCTGCAGACCTTTTTAACAGCTCTCTGCTTCTTGTCACTCTGTGCGATACCAATGCAAATCTGTCCCAAATGATGTCTAATGACAAATTTTACTTTCTCTTTTTAAGCAGCTTACCAAAAAGTGAGCCTTTTAAACTAGGCTGGGAGCAAGATACCATTCTTTATAAAGAAAGATCAGAATTACAAAAAGGATTTTTATTCTGTTAATACAATTTAACACTCCAATGGGAAAACAAATTTGTCCCAATACTTTTAAAAAGCAGTTGCATATACTGTAACTTATTTCTTAGTTACATGAAAAATAGAAACAACTGGACTTTAATCAAATATCCAAGTTCTCAGAAACAAATTTTTAAATCACAAAAGCACCGTAAATGCCAAGCCTCAGACAACAGTATTCAGAAAATGAAATAACCATTTATTATTCATAACCATTTAAGAAGAATGTATTCTCAGTCAAGATGGTGACAACTAAATGTTAATCATGTTTCTGCTCGACACAGCAGAAAACAAAACAAAAGATTGTTTACCATCACAACCATAAAAGTTTCATAGGCAATATTTTAAGAAGTTTATACAGGCAATTTAATTACAAACCACAGAAGCTCATTAAGTTCTCGGTTCTTTCCATTTGAAAGTTTTTGGCAATTGAAGCATTACAGCATTGTTCTAGATTTCAATAGGGTAAAATACTCCAAAAAAATCTTATTTAATGTTACTTTGTAAAAAGAAACAGTTATTTGATAATGAATCACCCTTTTGAGGATATCAATTTCTAATATGAAATGCATATTTTGTAGCTATTCAGAAAATGTTCCAAAAGTTCTTTACAATATTTGTGCACTGAAGTGCAACCACCTCTGTGGTTTTAAGTGGTAGAACTGTGAAAAGAAAGCCATCTTAAATTTTTACTATTCAGATTTCATGCTGCTCTGCATCCTGTTCATAATTCAGTCTTCAAAAGATAACCCTTACCAATATTTCCTTCTTAAAACAGCCAAGCTTCTAAAAAAGTGCTTACAGATAAATAGAAAACAGGCACCGTACCAATAGTGTCATGTATATGGATATCAATATGCCTGTCTTTCCTTTCGTCCTGAAACCTGGCACTGGGTTTGTATGGGCCACATGATTTTGAAGCAGGTGGTGAAACATTCTGTTTTTTGAAAAAAAGTGAAAAAAGACATTGTAAACACATGTAAAGATGAGGAACAAAAAAAAACAAAGCAAAGAAACATTTGCTATTTCAGAATTTTATGCTCGTCTTGCAAAATAAAACCGATCTAAAAAAAGTAACTTTTTATTTCACTGTCCTTGACACCACATTACCCACCGCCCCCAAAATATTAAGGTTTACCCCTTCATCTGTTCTATGGAGAATAAAACATGCTTTGTTGCCTGTTTTGATCAAACTGGACCACAACCTAGCAGCTTTAATCTACAGTACTTCTTTGGTGGGTACACTCAGCTCAATAAATATTTTATACAAGATATCAGTATGAGCTTTCACGTCGTATCTCCAGTGGGCTTTGATCAAACCAAGTTGAACAGCATGTTGGGATCAAGAGCCGTCCTTCTCATATAACCCACAATTAATTATTCATGCCAACTTTAGTACATTATGCATAATTTTGGGTAAGGATTAGGGTAATATCCTTCAGCAAGTTCTTTGAAAAGTACACACCATGGATGCAGCATTAAGAAGACACCACCTATACTGTATATTTCCCCACTGAAACTGTACATACAGTACCTAAATCAAATCAAAGTCTAATAAAGAAAGGACAAACTAACAAGCTTTAACAAAAAAAAGGCCATTTTCACAGCAGGATTTAGAACACCACCACTAAGTAGGGGCTTTTGCAGTACAATTTTTCTATTACAACAAAAAAAAGTCAAATTTACTGTATTTCCTGATTTTCTCATCCAACACACTAATGTTTCAATTTGCATCTTAAGTCCGAAATAAATTCAAATTTAAAATTTGAGTCTGAAAATGCATTAAACGCGAAGAAAACCAACACAAAGTGAGACTCGTTCAGGATGTTTCAAAATGTCACATCAAAACAGAAGGGTTTGTTTAGAAAAGAACACTCCGTTAATACTTTTCCATTACAGTTTATGGCGATGGTGCTGTGCCATATACATAAATATATAGTAAATTAAGTGTTTAATGATGAAATACTAACCCACTGGCTTCTCCTTGTTAGCATCTAAAAATGTAACTAGTGGTCTCTTGTAAATGTCTCTAATCCTGACAAATTAAATTAGAGAACATCAGCAAAAAAAAAAAACTACTAAATCACATTAATTTAATCTACCTACCTATTTACTAGGGGCTTCCTTTATTATGATGTCAATGAGGAATTTTTTGGAAATAAGGAGATGCTAAAGGACAAGGATGAAATGTGTGAATAAATGCATTTGATCTGGAATTACTCCTGCTTTGTTAATCAATGAAACATATTTGAACAATGAAAGTAGGCAGAACATATTCCCCCCCCAGACAGGTAGTATATCATAAACAGCTACACCTCAGGGCATAAAACACTGAGTGCTATTATTGCATTCTTCATCATAGAAATAAAAAGAAAATCAAGTACCTTTCGGTAATTGAGTTGACAGTTTCCATTCAGCCACTGTCTATGAATTGAGAACGACTCATTGGTTGTCAAGTCTCCAGCAGTAAATCCCATATTTTCTGCAAATATGGATGCTTCAACCAAAAAAGGGAACAACCGTTTAGTCCTTGCAAAGCTACAACATTGCATTAATTTCTAAAAAACCGATTTTAAGAGAGAAATGCTAGAAATTATGACAGTTAAGCTTTCATTTGTGTTTCACAACACTAAAATTACTAGTCTAATTACCGGTCTGTAATAACACATGGTTTGCAGTATTTCACAGATTTCAAGAATGCACTTCACTCTAGGCAACTGTATAGAGACAAGCCCTGCAAACCACTTTTATGCTACTAGTGTTCCATTTTCCACTTCAAAAGCAATAAAATGCTCAGTTTATATAGGGTTAAAACCCAGTGTTGCTTCTTTAATTCTGAACGACAGTAATCTTTGAAATTTATATTCAGAAGTCCTCCAAGGATGGATTTTTTGTTGTTGTTGTTTTTAAGTCTTGGGTAAACAGCAAAATTTGGATCATCTGGTGTTCTTAACAAGATCCGACCACTTACACATTAGTCAGAGAGCAAACACACTGACTCAGACATGCGTGACAAAGTGGCAGCAATTCCGCCTTTTGACCCCCTACCCTCCCCCACAAGTATCCAAGGGAAGATTTTCTTTTGGCATACTTTATTCTTTTAGTTTGCAAGCAAAACATCTCATGTACCTTAGATCTCAGCACTACTTGTCTATCTCTCACCATATATATTCCTGTATGGTATTTTCTTTTTATTTGTTTATTTGACATTTTTGGTGCTCACATTATTGGACATGCCACAGCTTTCCGTTTAACTTATATCTTTTGCAATAAACAATTTCTCCAATTTATAAAATACTACAGCTCCATTCTATTGATATGTGACCTGAAGGGTACATACTTTTATGTAAAAACAAAAACTGCAATAGCACTTTAAATACATTCTGCTGAAATGTATTGGAACAAAACAAAATAAAACTGCACTGTGTACTTGATTTTCTAGAGCACTTGCGATTTTAAACACGGGGGACACGTGACAGTACCTGATTCTCCCACTAGAAAAGTGTGCCGTGTGTGCTCCATCACAGCCCGTGCCACACCAATGGCGTTCCTGATTCGTCTCAGGTCTCCTACAGCTCCAACTTCCATAGTATCCCTGCAACATGTACAGTAAGAAACACAGAAAGACAAAACAGCCCACCTACCCTCCACATTATCACAGACCGAGGAGGTTATTTTAAGACTGCTTTCTCTTATTTAAAGAGCGCTACGATTAATATCGTTGACCATGACTATCATCCCTTACATAGCCAAATGGCAAAAAGATCTGCAATTACCAAGCATCACATTGACTGACTTCAATTGTACTTTTACCACAAACAAAACCCAACATCAAGCCTATCCTCTGATGTTACACTAGATAACAGCCCCTAAACAATTTCTTTTAAATCATTTTCACATCAATTTTAAAAATTACAGAATCTGGATTATTTAAATGCGATACAGTTTTATGTTCATAGAAATGTGTTCAAAAGAAGGTTACAAGCTTGAAATTTCCATAGATTTTTGTCCTTTGACGGCTTTTTCAGCAGTCTTTCCTTTTAAAAGGTTATTATAAGTTGCCCAGTCTTCACTAAATCCAATTTAGTTAATGGTATTTATTAGTCCCTAAGCTTAATTAAAAAAAAAATCAACTAATGACTAAGCATCCCTGCTTTGGACCCACTGCTTACAAGGATAGGCTCTGGCTCCCCTTCGACCTCAAACTGGAAGAATGTTTGAAGGTGGATTTGACAACTGTGTGTCATGTACAGTACATCCTCGGTCTGTTATGATAATGATTGCCTCAATATTTCATTTAAATTACCCCAGGACTGCAGTGCGTGTTCAAGAGACTCGGGGAGCAACTTCGCATTTAGGACAGTGACAGGGTAAAGCACAGAGGTTGTAAGCTTGTTTCTCACTCATGTTACCTTCTTTAATAAATGTTATCATTTTAAACTCTGAACCATAGTGGGTCTAAGTGCAACATCAAAAAGTCTAAAATCGCCTCACATGGGCTTGTGCAATAAACTGAAATAAGACAACTGCTGTGCAGTAGAAGTCTCGTCAATCTCTCCCGTCCTATTAACACCAAGACCACAAGACGATGACTCGTTACGATTTAAATTGGGACTGGATTCTCCCCCCCAAAAAGAGCTCTTCCAGATCACCCACTTTCAAATCGGACAGCACCGGGAATCGCAGGGAGGAGCGCTCACCCGTTCATGATCATCGCATCCAAGGTCGTTTCTCCCGTCTCATCGGGGTTCCCTCCATAACCTACGCTGCCGTCGCATTGGTAGACCTCGCACTCTGCACAGCCCTTTACCACAGCGTCTACCGCTGAGCCGCCAGACCGCAGGACGCTCCACGCTTCAACAAGAAGGGGGGGGACACAATTAAACAGCGCGCAACCAAGTACAAGACAGTCCTCGCCACTGGAGCGACAAAGAGATGTTAATGGATCCAAGTAAGGAGCCTTGAGAGACAAAGATTTGCTTCTCCGTTAAATAAGCCCTCCCCCCACCCCGCATTACAAATAGACCCCTTTCAGAAAAATCTCGAACCAGAAGTTCAGAAAACACTTTTCAAGTTTCACAAGATGGACATCCCTAATAAGCCAGCACAAAGCTCTGCTTAGTTAATGCCAAACCTGTTTCAACACTGTGGGTATACTGGGCTATGTCGGCAGAAACATTCCACATATAAAAAAATCTTCAGAAGGGACAATTTAGACTTGCCTCAAAAAAAGTCCCCATCTCTAGAAGAGAATAGGAAACCAGAGGATCCAATTAAAACCTACACAAACAGGGAAAAAATGCCCAAGATGGAGTTTAACCCAAGACTCCTGTAATCGTGATACCCCTTCTCAGATCTTTTATGGAAAATGCTCTATAGGGTTTCAAAACTTTGATCCAATAGTACGAATTTCTTTTTACCTACCGTTTGAATTCCTGAAACGGCCGCCAGATATTAAGGACACATATTTTGGCTAAGTTAACCAAAATAATCTGGGGGGCTTCGATTTCAATTTAATTTGGATAATGAGGTTTTGCGGGGGCAAACAGGGACTATCCAGGAAAACAGAAAATGTGTTTAACTGCACCATTTGGCAGGTAATTCTTTTGGTGCCATCCTAAAAAAAATAAATAAAACCCCTGCTGCTACCGTTCCTCTTGTTCAAACAGCTTGAGTGTTAATAGCCGGATAATTATAGAAAACACCGAGGTTCAGAGGGAGAGGAAGAGCATCAAAGCAACAGAGGACATATTTGCAAGTAGTGAAAATGCCAAGTGAACAGAACGCTGATGCTCCATGCTGTTGACAACAGTGTTTCTATATTTATTCCAGGAGCTCTTCATAAATCTTCCACATGGCTTGTCTGAGAGAAAGCAACCAAGAGTACACGCAGGTTTATGTGCCAGTCTTACTGCATGTATAACTCGTGCTTTCAAGATCATATAAATAAACTTACGGACCAACATAGAGTATGACTTCTAAAGCGTTAAATGTCTAG